GGGGGATTGGACTAGATGATCTCTAGAGGTCCCTTCCAACCCTAAGCATTCTATGATTCTATGATCCCTAAGTGCTGTGTGTCGTTACCAACGTGTCACTCTCCTTGCAGGGGACATCTACGTGCATGCCGATCTCCACGGAGCCACGAGCTGCGTGATCAAAAACCCCACAGGTACCTGCGTGCAGCTCCCTTGGTGCTGCCACGTGGCCTCGTCTCTGCGCGGGGGCCCGTGCGCCGTGCGCTGACGCGCGGGTGCTGCCCTTGCAGGTGAGCCCGTCCCTCCCCGCACGCTCACCGAGGCCGGCACCATGGCCCTGTGCTACAGCGCGGCCTGGGACGCCCGCGTGGTCACCAGCGCCTGGTGGGTCTTCCACCACCAGGTGAGGACACTCGTGCCCGCAGGCGGCACGGCTGGAGCGGGGCTGCGGGTCGGGTCGTTTAGGGGGAGCTCCAGGAAGGGGGGTGAAGCTCCTGGTTTTGGGCACATTCCTTGCACGTCCTCCTTGGCTCCGCTGCGCTGACCAACGGTGAAGGGGTGGCCGCTGACATGGCCCACACATGGCTGAGGAACCGCTGCAAACTTGGCCTCTTGCTAAAAACAAAAACAAGCCCTTCCTCTCCTTAATAAAAACAAGGTTTAATCTTTCTCAGGCAGGGCTATAACCTGTATATTAACTTCAACTTTGCTTATGAGCAATGCGACCATAAGGACTGACCCTTGGCCCAGAGAGGCTGTGGAGGCTCCTTCTCTGGAGATCTTCCAACCCGCCTGGATGCCGCCCTGTGCCCCTGCTCTGGGTGTCCCTGCTGGAGCAGGGGCTGGACTGGATGATCCCTAGAGGTCCCTGCCAACCTCAGCCGTTCTGTGAAAGATAACATTAAACTAAGGGTTGCAATCCCTGCAGTTGTTTCAACTTCCTGAGTAACCCAGCTCCTCATTCTTGCAGAACGTAGCCCTGTACTGTGGGAATGGAATAAAATGTCTGTTGGGAAAACATCATACAAAAGACAGGAGGGCCCCCTTGGATACTGCATTTGCAAAGCTGTTTCCACAGGCTAAAAGTGCAGCTTGCTTGAATGTTCCCCTTGCTAGTGCAGTTATGAAGTGGTGCTGCTCTTCTAGGAAAAGATGCTCCTTATAGTATATCTGCTGTTCTCAGGTTTCTAAAACTGCGCCTACAGGAGAGTACCTCACCACTGGAAGCTTCATGATTCGAGGTGAGACGCGAGGAAGCAGGGGGATTTTGACATTGTTTTGTCTGGGTGTGCTGTCCTGCGGCAGTCCCTGATGCTGCTCTTCTCCTCAGACTCTGCTCTGGGTGGTTTTGCTCAAACCTGAGAGCTGCAGCAGCAGCAGCTGCTGGCTGAGCAGAGGCAGTGGGCAGGAGACCATTAGCTAAATTCCCTCTGTGTTTCTCAAGTTTATTGTCATGCAAGAGCTAGAACAAGCCCCAGTTATAATTTTTGGTAACCTAAAACCTCTAATAAAATGAGTTTTGAAAATACTTTAACATAACCCTTAAATCTCCTTATGGGAACCTGCCTTTGTTTTTCAGGGAAGAAGAACTTTCTTCCTCCTTCATATCTGATGATGGGGTTTAGCTTCTTGTTTAAGGTACTGCTTTATCTGTGCAGCTCTTGCTGTTTCTTTAATTTGCCTCGAGCTGTAGGAGGCTTATTTTCTAGTTTTTGTTTACCAGTACATTCCCAATTACTACTTTCCCAGTGGGACAAATCCCATAAAATATTAGTCAGTGACAATTACTTGTCTCTCATTTCCATTTTTGCCCAGTTTGTGCTGGCATTCATTTAAAACAGACAGACACTGTGAACTTTGTCTATGCTAAATTTTTTTTATAAATACATATGTTTATATATGTGCATATATATATATATGTTTGAAGCATTAAAATATATA